CTAAGCAAGAATACTCCTGTTCCTGAAACTGAAGCATTTATAAGATATACACCCAATAAATGAAAGAGATGAAAGGTGGGGCTGGAGAGAAGGTAGGTACAGCAGGTAAGGTGCTTGCCTTGCAGGCCATGTTTGATCCCCATCATCCCATATGGTCGCCTGAGCATCAACAGGAGTGATATCTGAATGCAGAGCTAGGAGTAACTCCTGACCATCTCCAGGTGTGGCCCCCAAACAAAACAAAACAAAAGCAAAAACAAAAAAAGAGATGAGAAAGTTCTCAGCAAGTTCTTTTAAAGCACAACCTATATTCAAGGAGTACTAGCATTTCCTTACTTGCTGCTTTTTTTATTTTCTTACGAATGAGATAAACTTCTTCTTTCTTTGCTTTTTTTCAATGTACTCTCCTAAAACTGTAAAAGGTATAAAGGATGACTGTCCTGTCGAATATTAGAGTACTATGTCCAACAGAAATAAAATGAAAACCAAAATCAGAACCACTTATATAATTTAAAATTTCTTAGTAAATATAGTGACAAAAATAAAAAGAAACCAGTGGAATTTATTTATCCTTTTTACTTAAAATGATCAACTCAACAGATAATCAACATTAAAAAAATGATGTGGGTTTTTTTTTTTTTGGTGTAATATCTTAAAAGCCCGTTATGGATTGTGGCTTAACAGCACTTAAGATACTTAACAGCACATCTCAATCATCTCAAACTATCAATGTTGAATAGTCATTTGTTTCTGTGGCTACTATATGGACAGTTGCAGTTTTCAGAACTACTCACAATGAAACATAAAGGTAAAGGAATTGTACTCTATGGATTTGACGAAAGTGAAGATAAAGAGAAATCTGAACCAATCATGTTGTTTCTGTCATAAAACTTATGGAATGGTATTGAAAGGAAAAGACAACAGAAGGATTAAGGCATTTGTTCTCCATGCAGCTGACTTGGTTTAATCCCCAGCAACACATAGTTCCCTAGACATCAGTAGTAGTAATCCCCAAGTGCTACCAGAAGTAGCCCGAAACTTTTACCCTTCCTCCCAAAACTATGACATTATCATAGAATACAACACTATTTGCTTATTTCTACAAAGTGTACTAAACAGAAGTGCCTATATCCTTTAAGGTAAAGGTAAAGGCCCTCCCGTTGATCGTCGATTTGCTCGAGCGGGCCCAGTAACGTCTCCATTGGAGACTTTGTTGTTACTGTGTCTGGCATATCGAATACTCTTGGTAGCTTGCCGGGCTCTCCGATATCCTTTAAAATCACTGAAATTAAGAATCTGTGAAATTGCAAATTGAACACGATTTTAACTGGGGTTTTACCTGAATGACAAATAGTAAGACAAAATGATAAAGAAAGTTGACCAGGGATGAAGACAAGAAACATTCACTTTTACTAGACGATGGCCAATAATATTTTTTAAATTAACTCAGAAAAATTCATATTTTTTAAAATTTTAAATCAAAAGGAATGTAATGTACTAAAATCACTATTTATCTGATGTGTACTAAGTAGAGAAACCTTTATTTTGAAATATCCAGATAACTGTCCATGTGTATCTCTTTATTTATAAAATAGGGATGATTAATAGAATTCCTCTGTTCATAGCATTTATTCTAGACAGCTATGATTAAACAGCATTTTGTTTCCTTATTACTATAACTGTTGGATTATAGTTCCAAGCATTTTAGGCTTAACTTTGGGTTGCTCTTTCTCCTCCAAAAGGGAGCTTAGGTGAATTAAATTACATCAACTACAGTGCTCCTAGAGGCACACCCAATTCCATCAAAGCACTCCCAATGCTGCGTATTTATCTTTAACCTCTCCATTGTGCTCTTCTTCCCCTATATGTTAGTCACAAAGATCTCCAAATCAGACATGGTAACTTGAAAATCAAACCTTCTGATGGCTCTGAATTTTGTATATGCAAATACAACATTAAGTATTCTTAGAAAACTTTGAACTTAATCAAGGTAATTCTCATGGAAGTAAAAGAACCAAGAAAACACAGTATTGTTGTTTAATCTGTATATTCTGTATGTTTGACCTCTAGAGGTCAATATAATAATGTTCTCCTTTATCATGAACTAAAACAGAAAAAAATTTTGTTTGATGTAAAAACCTCAACACTCTTAATGGCTTTCAAAAACTGCTGGGAGACATTAATTCGGTCCTCCCCTCTCTCAGCCTGTCCAACTCAGATCTAAACCTGTGCCTCACCCTTGAGAAGGCCTCTGCCCTCAATGGCCCAAGGCAGTTAATGCCTGAATCTCAGGAGTTGGAATTTTTCTAGACAGGCTCCAGAAATCCCATCTTTCTCAGTTTACTCCTGAAGAAAAAAGTATGGCTTTTGTTAGTTACTAAAAAACAAAAAGCACCCAATTCTCCTATTTGTGTTAAAATTGACTAAGAATGTAGAAGGAAACCTCCTCATAGGAGGAAAAGGCAATGCTTATGTTTCAACAGATGGAAGCCCCACCAAGAAAGCCCTGTTATGCCTCCTCAGGAGTCAAAATCATCTGCCTGATTTGGCCCTTAGACTGCAAGAGACTTCATAATCCTCCATCTCCATCTCCATCTCCATCTCCAGCCCTGAGAATCAGCCAAAAGAATCTCGACTGAAAGTCACAAGGAAATCAGAGTAGAAGCCAGCATCAGAGGAGCTGCAGAAAAAGTCTCTAGTCACTTTAACAAATCATAGATCACATTAACAACATTCCTTATAGCCCAATTTTACAGGTTGTTGACTGATGCCAGGACCCCACGTTTGGACTAAAGATTCCTCCTTCCTTTACCCCTTCCTTGGAATTCACAGATGCCTCAGTTCTGAAACGAGGAAGAAAGATCTTGAAATTAATCTCTCTCGATCACGTTCATATCGGAACTTCCCCATCTCTCTCTCCAACCCCAGGCATGGAGTCCTACCAAGCTGCTGCTGCTCACTGCCTCTTATCACTTCCAAAAAGTGTTTTTTCTCATACATAGTTAGGTCACATGTATGGCTGTCAGTGAACCTGACCAGAGAATAGAAACATTTCCCCACTGAAGGACTTGTGACAGAGGTCATGTATGACATGTCTGCTCTGGTGCTCCATATGATTCATCGGGATCCCAGCAATTGCAATTATAGTTCCTGGGACTCACTGCTGTCACCACTACTGCTACTGTTGCAGCAACAGCTCTTCAAACCTCGATCCTGACATGGTGTCAAAATGCGGCATAAAGATCCTCACCACTCTGAACAGTGCAGACCATAGTCAATCATGACACTGAACATGACTCACCCCTTTTCAACAAGTACTGCTCTGATCCAGGGGCACAGTGAGACTGCTGAAGAACAAATGACACTGTTTTGTGACTGGAAGAGTTAAAAGATCATGCTGAGGGCACGACAAGTCAAGCCTATTTCAATGTTTGCGTTTTACAAAGAGAAAAGGGGAGATACTGAGCTGCAATTCCAAGCATTTAAACACAATCCTGTGTGTTTATCTTCACCCTCTCCATTGTGCTCTTCTTCCTGTTAGTCACAAATATCCCCAAATGGACATGGTAACTTGTAAAGTCAAATCATCTGATGGCTCTGGGATTTGCATGTGTAAGTGAAATACTGCTTTTCTCTTTCCTTTATGTCCTTTGCATATTTTCATTCTAGAGCAATGTGCTTTTGTATAGACAAAGGAAGACAGTTAATGCTATGCCTTTGTAACTGACTCTGAAATATTTACTCCTGGACATCAGTCACATTTATTTGACTAGCCTCAGTTGCCTGAGCACAGTCATGGAACAAACTCTGACATGACCCAAAAATAAGTAACTGAAAAAGGACCCTGTTGGGGTCAGAAAAACTAATCTGGCCTAGGACTGTAGTCTGGATATATAGCGAGGTGCCCCCTGGAGTCCAAAGAGGCCATTTTAACTTAGTCTAGTGTATATGTGTAAAGTCTACATCTCTTACTATGTTCATACAAAATGACTAGAGATATTATTAAGAAATAATTTAATATGATTGTTTAAATGGATTACCAGTAAAGGAGAAAGCAGTATGATCGTATATGACATTTTGTCCGTGGGAGGACCCTAGAAGGATCTAGAGCACTGGAGCCTCTATGAGAAACTCTGTCCTTGGATGGATCTCCTAGAAGAATTTCCCCCACAAGAGGGACTTTATATCTGTTTATGTTAATGTTTAATCACAATTATATGTAAATGTTTAATCATGATTATATGTAATTGCATTCCCCCCAAACCTTCATAATTTCTCTATAATCAACAATTTATTATGAAGTTCGTGGATGTTTAGACCAGAGTTCAAACTCTGTATCAAGAATCAAGGGATATAAATTAAAAAGAGTGGAAGAGAAAGAAATAAAGGAAGAAATGCTGTGATATACATGCTATAAAAATAAAGCAATAAAATAAGAAAGAGATGGTGTGTTGGGGTTATCAATCTGTTATAACTGATCTCTGTTCAGCACTGTTCCATTTCCCAATGTATACAAATACAACCTTGTGAAAATTTCTTATCATTTCAAGATTTTTGTAAAGTTGGAAAAGGACTTTAGTTTGCTAGATTCCTTTTCACCTCATGACAAAAAAATGATTTATTGAAAAATGTAATATGCTATGAAGTCCTTTATTTTTGCCTTGGAAATATAACACTGAATTTTGCACCTTCACTCAAGTAGTAGTAGTAAAGAGGATATTATTTTAAATATAGATTGTATTAAATATGACTAAAAACAATAACATCGATTAGATAACACTAAAATAGAAAACAACTTTTAAAATACACTATTAGGAAGCAAATTAGTTTTAATTACAAACAATACAACCATAAGATATGGTTGGTTCTATTGTTTTAAGTGTTGAAGCAAATAAGGCTTCAACAGAGAAACTAACATAAATGAATTTCTACATTGTCTACGTCCAAAGAAAAAAATTATTGTAAATGAAATTAGCAAGTACATTTTTATTAGGACTTACCAAGTTCTGCTAAATTGCCAAATGCAACAAGACACATTTCTGTAAGAGATGTATTTTGACAGTGGATGCCCAGTAATTTCACTAAGGTAGGAATAACACCCATATTGATAAGCTGAGCTTGAAGGGAATCTGTAAAAAATAAAATAGTGTTTATGTACAAAATGAACATTATCAAGGTAGAAAATACTGTGATTCCAGCTAGTACAAATTCATTATTATGTCAATAATAATAAAGGCAGAAAATGTTCATATAACTTGTGAAAATTTTAAGAAACTAGTCTAGAAAAGTTGAGCACTGAATATTTTCAAAGATTCAGAAACAAAAATAATTTAAGCATTATGTCAAATCATTACATTTTAAAACACACCTTTACAAAAGTTCTAAAGATAAATAAGTAAATACTACCACTGGTTTTTAAGTGAAAACCACAGAAAGTAACATTTGCATTATAGAAGTTACAGACCATATGAGAAGCATAAGTGGGCAAAAGCAAGTTTAATGAGGACCAAAAGAAAAAAAGACAAAAATCTGAATCTTCGTAAAACACCTTGTTCATAATACAGAAGTATGCACTATATAAATTAATTTTTATTATTTACAGCGTAGAATTCTTTCATGACACTAGATTATTAACAAGGGAAATATGTCATTTAAAATATTTTTTTCCCCATAACTTAGAGGCCAGCCGGGTATCCTAGAGGAAAGGGCAGTTCAGATAGAGAAGGGAGCACCAAATAAAGGGTGTTTGGAGGATCCTCCCAGGAGGGGAGATGCATGTCGAAAGTAGACTATGGACTGAACATGTTTGCCACTCAATGCCTCTTTTGCAGACCACAACACCCAAAAGGAAAGAGAGAACACAGGGGATTGCCCTGCCACAGAGACAGGGGGGATGGGGGAATGGGGGTGGGAGGGATATTATCCATGGTGGTGGAAAATGGGCACTGGTGGAGGGATGGGTATCTGATCATTGTATAATTGAAACCAAAGCACAAAAAATTGTAAATTTACAACTGTAAAAAAATATAAAATAAAATAAAGGGGAAAAAATTTTTTTTTGAAATTTAGTGACCTTAGCAAATAAAGAAAATTTAACTTGAGAAATTTGTCAGTCAAAATGGCTTTGTCATCATTGTTTCCCCTGACATTCTAAGAAACTAATCACTTTCAAATACTTAGCATGCCTTAGATTTCCACAATGGTTTAATGACTAATAAAGTACCTATAGTAACATTAAAGAAAAACCAAAATGAAAATCAAAAGTGATGCCTTTTGAATGACCTAAGAACATAGATATACACATGCCTATGCAAAACTATTAGTGCTATTAACTAATATGAACATATACAAATATTCTCATTTTCTTTTTAATTTAAAAATTATGTACCATTCTGAAGCTAATAAACTTTCTCCAAATCCTTTATCTGTCATGGGCCTGAAGATAAAAGTCTGCATCATAAAACATATTTCTCTTAGCATGCATCACTGATAGGATTTCCCCACTTTACCACTTATCACTTTCTCTCAGGTTGCAGTTCTTAACCTGCAGACAAGGAGGTGGTTAGGAGGTTATCAGAAAAGAACACAGGGTAAGGTTGAGTCTTTTCACATACCCACTGATGACTTTTGGAGTTTGTGTTAACTTTTTCTGGTTGTACAGTGAAGAATAAGGAGAGATACCCAGCAAAACCTTTTTAGCTCTGAAAACTAATGGTTAATTATGGATAACTAGCTGCTTCAGATTTGGAGGCTCATCTATACTGTAAAGAAAACTATTACCTACACAAGAATAGAAAGCAAGACTGAGAAAAATGGAAGTTTATATTTAGAGTTCACATAATTTTATACAATTTCAGATTTTGTAATGGAATTTTCAAGTCTATTCAGAGAGGATTAAAATAGAGATATTTTTCTGCATCATTTGTTTGTATCCCTTGATGTTTTCCTTTCTGATACAATTCAATTAAAAGTTTATAACACTTACAGACACAACAGATTATAGGGCAGTCTGTACCAAAAGGGATGACTGACACCCACTCCCCAGAAACAGTATTAGCCATGGGCAAAGTTGGAGGCAATGTTTCCTTTATCTGCTTCAAGGGGGGTAAGCTGCTGAGTAATTTTCTTGAAACAGGACAGTAGATCAAGTAAGTTTGGGAATCTCTGTTCCATAGTATAAAAGTATAGCCATATGCTACATTAGTTAAGTACATGTACATTGGTTACTAATATTTATAATGCTTACACACTAAGAAGCCTTCCAAGTTAGAAATTATTTTGATTACTTACCAGTAGAAAAAGGTCCTATCACTGGATCTCTCTGCAGTTCTTTGTTCTTTAGCAGTATTTGAATTTTTTAAAATTTATTCACTGTGTCTATATCTTCAAATACTACAGATATGTTGATTCATTAAATTTCAGGTATGTAAGTGTGAGCACTAGCGCATGCACTGGATATGAGTCCACTCTATGTCTGCATATGTGTAAGTATCACACACTCCCCAGCAACACTGTTGGTATAAATTACAAAAATCCAACAGCTCAGGGACACAAAAGAATGTCACTTAGAAGATATTCTTCAGGTTCTCCTAACTTAGCAGCTCTACCATTTCTTGAACCTCTTTACACTATTAGAAATTTTTTTAGTTCCAGAGAAAGAGGAATAGAAAGTTAAGAAATGTTGCAGAGTTTAATATAATCTTTCACATACAAATTGAAACAATAACATTTGATATTATGGCAAATCAGGAATAAAAGTGGCATAAACCAATGGCATGGTATGAATTGCCATATTTCATGAAAATCATGTTCTATGAAAGTGTTTTAAAGCTAACCAGAAGCCAAATTAATTATAGACTAACATGTAACACATATATCACAAAAAGTAAAAAGAAAAATATACAATCATCTCATTAGACTCCATTTTGAAGTTGTGTACTATTAATCTTATATGTACTTCTATGAGGTAACTAAAATGAAAATTAAACTTGAAATAACTTGGAAGTCTATTTATGTCAATTACAGACAAATAATTCTCCTTAGAAAATAATCAGAGAGGGGCTGGAATGATAGCACAGCGGGTAGGGCATTTGCCTTGCACGCGGCCGACCTAGGTTCAATTCCAAGCATCCCATATGGTCTCCTGAGCACTGTCAGGAGTGATTCCTGAGTGCAAAGCTAGGAGTAATCTCTGAGCATCACCAAGTGTGACCCAAAAAGCAAATAAATAAATAAATAAATAAAAGAAAATAACCAGAGAAAGTAAAAGAAAACAAAATAAACCTAATCAGGTTGACACTAATTTTGTGCTCAGGGACCACTTCCAGATAAGTCGGTGCATGATTTATCCAACTGTGGTCCCAAAATCTTTCAGAGCATCATAGTAAGAACTATTTTTTTGTTAAAAAAACCTCCGATATTTGGGAAAAATTGCTAAGACTTTGGAATAAATCCATACGATGGCATCAAATTGTATTAGAAGTACATCATTATTAATTATATGTAATCAATATAAATAGTGCATAATAATTCATATTGTACACGAAAAATAATATTTTCAATAATTAAAGAATTGAAAAGTTATTGAAAATTCTAGTTAAATTTATTTTAAAGATTAGCACTGTAGCACTGTAGTACTGTCCTCCCATTGTTCATCGATTTGCTCAAGTGGGCCCAGTAACGTCTCCATTGTGAGACTTGTTGTTACAGTGTTTGGCACATCGAATACGCCACAGGTAGCTTGCCAGGCTTTGCCCTGCAGGCAAGATACTCTTGGTAGCTTGCCGCGTTCTCCAAGAGGGGTAGAAGAATCTAACCCAGGTCAGCTGACCCAGCCGTGTGCAAGGCAAACGCCCTACCTGCTGTGTTAAAGACAATAAATAAGATCTCATTTTAGGGTCACCAGACAAAGAATACTTTCATGTTAAAATTTTAAAAGATTTATTGCCATCTTAAAATGCCATAGCAATTGAAAAAAAATGACAATTATAAGGTCTAAAATGTAATAGATAAAAGCTAAATAAATGGTATAAACAAATGACATTTGAGATCTTATTAAACTTTAAATATCTAAGAGTCCTGAGAACAACAGTTTAAGAACCACTGCTAAGATTATAAAATTTTTATTAAATAAAATTTTTTAAAAAATGGAGAAAAGGTTCTGAGATTCAATTAAATATTTGGCGGGTGTACAATAGAGAAATGAAAATTAAAATCATGGTAAGAATCCCAGAATTTATTTTCATTTTTTGGTGTTGGGAAAACACCTGGCAATGTTCATGGGTTACTTCTGCCTCAGTGATGCTCGTGGCTTACTCCCGGCTCAGGGATCACTCTTGCAGGTACTTGGGTGCTGGGGATCAATATGCATGCAAGACAAGTGCCTTATTCATGATGCTATCTCTCCAGCTCAGATTCCCAGATTTGTTTTACTCAGATATTTAGGAGAATTTATATCAATAAAAATTCCTAACATCTCATATTGGTCTTATTTTGTTTTACCAGAAACTCTACTTAAGTCTATGAGAATATTCCACGAGTGGATCTATTTACTTATTTTAGGGACAAACTTTGTATGTTACTAGTATGTTACAAGATTTTTTAAGGAGGTTGCAGTTGGGAGAGGGCTGTCCTAGGAGTAGTAGAGAAGGCTCCTATTTGTATGGAAAAATTAGTAATAATTTTTATTGTTGAAAGCAAAAAATTAAATAAAAATGTTTTCATTTTTTTCTTACTGTCCTAACTAAAGTTTGTGAATGAACTTCAAAGAAGAGTAAGTGGCACCAATGCTACCATGAATGATGTCAGGAGTATGATGTTAAAATCAGAGATAAATAAGATGAAATATTTAGAATCAGAAAAATTTATATTCTCTAGAAACAACTGAAAGAGTCAGTAAAACAAGGCAAGACTGAGACTTTTTGCTTTTTTCAATGAGTATTTCAAGGGAATATTTACCAGTGTTCAACAAACACAATTCACAAAAACGAAGTCCAGAACCATACGTTGTACTTATGTGTGAATGACAGGTCTTTAGACAGCACAGTGTCATGACTTTAAAAACATTATCTCACACAGATCACAGACATATACTGACCAAAATACAGAACTACAAAATTACACACTCTAA